GGAGCTAATGTTAGCTTCAGCCCTGGAGCTAATGTTAGCTTCAGCCCTGGAGCTAATGTTAGCTTCAGCCCTGGAGCAGATCACTAAGTCTCCCCTGTCCATTCAAACTACAGTTGGGTCTCCAAAGCAGGAAACATGTAACCAGCCGTGTTACTGGCACTATTTGAAAAAAAAAACCCCATCCATCCATCTTCAACCGCTTATCCGGGGCCGGGTCGCGGGGGCAACAGTCTGAGCAGGGACACCCAGACTTCCCTCTCCCTCGACACTTCCTCCAGCTCTTCTGGGGGGACCCCAAGGCGTTCCCAGGCCAGCCGAGCGACGTAGTCGCTCCAGCGTGTCCTAGGTCTTCCCCTAGGTCTCTTCCCAGAGGGACGGCACCCGAGCACCTCCCGAGGGAGGCGTCCGGGGGGCATGCGATGTAAATGCCCAAGCCACCTCAGCTGACTCCTCTCGATGTGGAGGAGCAGCGGCTCTACTTCGAGCTCCTCCCGTGTGACAGAGCTCCTCACCCAATCTCTAAGGGAGCGCTCTGCCACCCTGCGGAGAAAGATCATTTCAGCCGCTTGAATCCTTGATCTCATTCTTTCGGTCATGACCCAAAGCTCATGACCATAGGTGAGGGTAGGGACGTAGATCGACCGGTAAATTGAGAGCTTCGCCTTTAATTAAAAGAGAAAGAAAAAAAATGTTTCTCTGTGTAACATGGTTAACCCTGACCTCTAACCCTACGGTTGTTATGGGCATGGAGACAATGAACCACAGTGGTTCATTGTCAGAAGTGTAGCTGTTTTCACAGAAGCACATGTGTCCAGAATATCTCTGAACTGCAAAAAAAAAACAAAAAAAAAAAACAAAAAAAACCAGAAGTTGTTTTTCCATCCTTCTTGGGTCGTCACCAAAGACTTTTACCAGTAATTATAGTTTACCGCACTGAAACAACACCAGCTGCCATAATGAGTCTCAGTACAGCTCACAGCCAAATTAACACCTTTCACAACCAGAATAATGGAAGCCAAAAAGATTTCTTTGTTCCAACCCGGAATCGTCCGAAGGAGCGGAGAAGTCATTCGCCTCCCGCTCCTAAAAACAGTTCCTGCAGCTGAAAATTCTTTAACATTTCACAGCTTCTTTATTATTATTTTTTTTTATTTTGTCATTATTCTGCTCATACTGTCAACAGTTCTGTCTCTGTGGCCAATAAAACTCGCGAATCTCTCGAATCTTGAACACACTCTCGAGGCCATATCATTGTAATGTCATGTTGTCTCTCTGTGACGCTGTGTCAAGTCAGTAGGAAAACCAGGTCTTTGGTGCTTTATTATTTATTATTATTCTTCCCCCAAAATCAGATCTCATAGAGAAACTTAACTTGTCTTCTTTTTGTTTTCTTCCTTGGAGTTACAGCGGAACCTCGGTTGATGAGCTGTATTCGTCGCTGAAGGCCGTTCGTGAACTGACAAGTTTGAAAACTTGAAACCGATTTTCCCCATAAGAATCAATGTAAAACGGCTGAATAAGGAATAAAGCTATAAATAGGAAAGGCAATTTCCATTCATCCCCCTACTGGTGCTGAGGAGTCGTGATGTCGTGCAATGTTCGCAGTTGGTGTCTCCAGCTGCTTTTGGTTGATCCAAATCAGTAGCAAACTTTTCCCGCTTCTTCTAATGTCTGAGATCTTTGATTGGTGATCACTCCTTTGACGACCTTAGCTTTGTTGATTTGCGTCCTTGTTCTTGATGATGGTACAAATCGACGTCTTTGTCTAAACACGAGCGCTATCCTCATGCTTTCGTATAATCGTTCTTCACTTAAATTGTTGTTAACAATATTTTTCTTTCCGTCTTTTCCATGGTGATTTATGAAACAAAATACAAGCAAAACCATGACAACAGTTCTTAGCGTGTATATTTACCGAGCGCAGACTGACGCCACGCACGCGCTCAGTGACTCAGTGATCACTTTGCTTCTTGCCCACGCAAGAAGCATATATATATAGTATATATATGTATATATACTATATATATTATATATATATAGTATATATATACTATATAATATATATATATATACTATATAGTATATATATATA